TCTGGCGAGCACACACACCCTATAGCGAAAACCCCCCCAAAAAAAAAAAAAAAAAAAAGAGGTGTCCAGGGGGCTATGGGACCATACCATCTCATACATTTGCTCACCCATCACGGGCTAGGAACCAAGAGACCAGGGTCGCTGCTGACCACCAGGTCTGGCTTGGGGTCTGACCTGTGGCTCCACTGGGCACCATGGGAATCTTAGACTTCTTGGGCCTAGGCACACCTGTCTTTCTCATGCTGGGCTTTCACTGGCAGAACAGTGACTTCTCCCACATCCCCCTCTAAGGGAGGCCAGACAGCCCAATGGCAGAATGATAGCCAACATCCAGAAATATGCTAACAGCCCAAACACCTCTTTACAACTTTAATCCTGTCAGGAAACCATCTTTCTCCCTCCCCCCCAGCAAAATCTCTATGTTGTCTCTTTCCTTGCCTATATGCCATTACACAGGTAGGCAGGACCGTACGGATCCTTGCAGCTTGGACATACGTGCTCACCAGAGTATCTTCGAAAAGCATCATTTTGTTGTACCATAATAGACAGTACTGGTTCTAAATTCAGGCTGCTCTTCTGGGTTTACTTCTGGAGATGGTTGGCTGCTACATAAACTTGGTCAATTTCCTCACTTATCAAGTGGAAACAATCATAGAATCTATCACGGAGAGGTGTTGTAAGGATTAGCTGAAATACTCCATGGAATCATTCACAACACCCTCTGATATACAGTAAGCACCCAGTGAAAGGCAGCTAAGAACCAAGTTGTCATGTTTGGACATGACGATAATCACACAGAAAGGTGCAGAGGTCTACAAGACTCTAAATTGTGAATGGCGGATGAGTAGAGACAGAAATGATTTGGCTTGACTAGGGAACATCAAAAACTAGCTGAGCTGAAGTGAAGAATTCTAGGTAAGTTCTTTTCTCAAACTCTAAAGACTTCTGAAGCAGAGCTCACACTTTCCTCTTTAGGGTCCAATCGCCCTTAGCTCACAGAGTCAAATACTTATTGAATAAATAAACACATTAATACTGAGATGTACTAGGAGGTAAGTAGGCATAGGCAGGGAGTTCAACATCCGGCAGAGACAGATGGACTTGATCCAATGACAGGAAGCCCATCTCCCGGGCAGGAGACTGGCATAGTGAAAACTATTTTAGGAAGATCAAACTGGAGGCACGTGCAGGAATAGAGGCAGGAGCAACTTGGCACAGACAGGGGTAACAGCAAGAAGGCTGCTGCAACAATGAGTGTGGGTTGAGGAGTCTGAACCAGGGTCACGGGAGAGAAAAGAAAGGTGCCAATTCCGACAGAGTCCCAAAAAAGCCCTGAGCAGATCCTTCAGCCACGAGGGAGAAGGCTACAGGCCTCCATGGGCTCCAGAGACAGAGTTTTGGTTTTTCTATTTCCTTACCTGTGTGATTCTGGCAAGATATTTAACTGAGCCCCAGCTATGTCATCTACAAAAAGGAGGAAATAATGCCGCTTCACAAGGGATGTTGTGAAGATTAAATATGATTTAAACAAAGCATTTAGCACAATGCCTGGCACAGGATGTGTGCTCAACAAACTGCAGATATCGTCATCTTCATCACCGCGACGGTATATCAATGATGACATGCGCACAGTAGGAACTCCAATGCTACAAGGATGGATACACAGAGGAGTGAGTGAATGAATGCATGAATGAGTAAATGAATAAACTGAGGAGTTTTCAAAGCAAGAGCAATGTAAGGATGAGGACCGAAAACATGAACATAAATTACAGTAATAAGTCCTGTCCTTAGGTCTCGCTGGAGCAAAGTTGACTGTCTACACTGACATGTGTATTTCACTATCTCCTTCAAACATGACCCTGTAGGGGCCAGACGGTGGTGCAGTGGCAAAACACAATGCTGTGAGGCAATCCTAGCAGGGCAAGTCCAGAACCCTTGAGTACGCATGCTTGCCCACAGGCCAGGGCTGGCTGAAGGCTGGGGATGGACAGTGGCATCAAGACCCTTTGAAAGTATCATCTGTTTCCCTCTCTCTCATGGAAGAAATAAGGAAGTAAATTTATGAACAAAGGCACAAAAATGAACCTGTGATGCAGCCAAAACAGATTCCAATATATCCATCCTACTGATGATAGAACTGAGTTCCAGGGCTGGCAGGTGGCATGGGGGTTAAGGCACCGGACTCCCACTGTACAAGTCCCAGGCCTGTGGGCTTGCTTTCTCACTTTCTCCCTCTCTATGGTCAAGTTAGGCCTCCATGGGCTCCAGAGACAGAGTTTTGGTTTTTCTATTTCCTTACCTGTGTGATTCTGGCAAGATATTTAACTGAGCCCCAGCTATGTCATCTACAAAAAGGAGGAAATAATGCCGCTTCACAAGGGATGTTGTGAAGATTAAATATGATTTAAACAAAGCATTTAGCACAATGCCTGGCACAGGATGTGTGCTCAACAAACTGCAGATATCGTCATCTTCATCACCGCGACGGTATATCAATGATGACATGCGCACAGTAGGAACTCCAATGCTACAAGGATGGATACACAGAGGAGTGAGTGAATGAATGCATGAATGAGTAAATGAATAAACTGAGGAGTTTTCAAAGCAAGAGCAATGTAAGGATGAGGACCGAAAACATGAACATAAATTACAGTAATAAGTCCTGTCCTTAGGTCTCGCTGGAGCAAAGTTGACTGTCTACACTGACATGTGTATTTCACTATCTCCTTCAAACATGACCCTGTAGGGGCCAGACGGTGGTGCAGTGGCAAAACACAATGCTGTGAGGCAATCCTAGCAGGGCAAGTCCAGAACCCTTGAGTACGCATGCTTGCCCACAGGCCAGGGCTGGCTGAAGGCTGGGGATGGACAGTGGCATCAAGACCCTTTGAAAGTATCATCTGTTTCCCTCTCTCTCATGGAAGAAATAAGGAAGTAAATTTATGAACAAAGGCACAAAAATGAACCTGTGATGCAGCCAAAACAGATTCCAATATATCCATCCTACTGATGATAGAACTGAGTTCCAGGGCTGGCAGGTGGCATGGGGGTTAAGGCACCGGACTCCCACTGTACAAGTCCCAGGCCTGTGGGCTTGCTTTCTCACTTTCTCCCTCTCTATGGTCAAGTTAAAAAAAAAAAAAAAGAATAAGAACAACCGAATCTCAGAAAGCAAATGACTTGCCCACATCTCATGGCCAAAAAATGGCAGCGGCGGGCGGAGGCACATCTGACTAGATATACAGGTGGGTCCTTTACTGGGCCTCAGAGCAAGTCCTGTAGGACAATCCTGAGTTACCACATTTCCTCAGTCAGACTTCTAATCCATTTTCTTCCCCAATTATATTAAGCACTGCTAAAATATCTAGAAAAATAGAAAGAGAGAAGGGAAAAATCTCTGTGTCCAGTAAATAGGTTACCACTAATCTTACAGAAAATTTCAGAAGGTAACAGAAAAACACACTGATTTAGGGGAATTAAGGAAGAACAAGTGAGAAAGAAAAACCTCTTTTCTATTTCTGCCATTGTTACCTGGCCTGAGCTGTATCTGCCCTGCCCCCCCCTTTTTTTTAATTAGTGGGCCCGTGTGCTCACTAGAGACAGACAGAGACAGAGACAGACAGGATGAGGAGGGGTATGGTCAAACCAAAATCCCTTCACCTCCATGTCTCGCTCCCCTCGAGATTTGGGGCATATGCACATGACACGCCCAGGAGGTTCCTCAGGCTACCAGGTCTAAGACTGAAACCTTGTGTTTAGCCATTTTGGGATCCAGCTGTCTTATGCACCAGGCCATGGAGTTAGCCCTCTACCCTGCTTTACAGGCACCCAAGTATCCTTTGATAACCTGATCTCCTCTCGACCACACCTTGATGCTGGACTAAGCCATTGGTCTGCTCTCCCTGATCCCGCTCCTAATAGCGCTGGCTTGAAACCCACACGGTCTGAGAGCAGGGCAGAAATGTGTCTGTGAAAGCACAATACAGAAGACATAAGTGTGGACTAGCCCCTCAGGAGTCAGGAAGGGGAAAGATCACCCTACCGGGTGGGGAAGGAAGGCTGTGGGCCTGCAAGTTGGAAGGCTGAACTCCAAGCACCCACAGGGCCTCAGATGACCAGCACAGAGCCTTTTCTTCCATGTGTTACCCCTGAACCTGCCTTACTGGTGTCACAGACAGTGCCCAGATCCTAAAAGGAACTTCCTTCAACTCTTCATAACTTGTCCCCAGAAATGTCTGCAGCCCACTCCTCCCCAACTGTCCTCCAAAGGCCCAGACCACTCAGTCAGGAAGGAAAGCTACCAAATATACTTCAGTTATCCTCAATAAAAGAACTTCTACAGGAAGGCAGGAGGCGCTCAGCCCTGCACTCAAGAACTGCAACCCTTCTGGTGCTCACAGGAGTCCCACCTCCTGTCTGAAGTTCCTGCTGGTTCCTCACCCTGAATCAACCAGCAGGTTTCTGGCACTAGGACCCTGCAGACAGGGAGCCCTGAGCCTGCGCTCTACCGAGAGAGATGCACCATTTCACAACTTCAGCAAAAACCAAAGCCGCCAACAAAGCCACAGCCACCTCAGCTGTGCTGGGCTCTGCCGTTTGGGCAGCTCGCAGGCCACTCCCCAGAAGCAGAGCGTTCTGTCCTGTCTCTTTTTAAATGCACGTCATCGTCTGATCATAATGGAAATCAATCTCCTCAAGCCACCACGCAAAGGCGTATCCATGGCAACCTCAAGAGGAAGGACACAGAGCCTGGCTGCAGCAGGGAAAGGTAAGCCCATCTCTCTACCATCCCACCATCCTCCTGACTCAGGTCAGGCAGGCACTCCACCTGCAAATTCTATCACCCCGACTGGGAAAGCACGGGAGGTAAGTTAACAATCATTACATTATTATGTAAGATTGCAGGTCTGCCTAGCCTCATAACTGAGTGGTAGGAAAAAAAATGCCTTTTCTGGGCGATGGGAACGTGGATAAGGCTTCTCTTATTCACCATCTCAGGTGACATATTCTCAGCTTGCAGTACCTGACAAATCAATATCAGTCCCCTGTCTCTCCAGTCAGAACGCTGGAAAGTCAGTCAGGAATTTCTGAGTTCTCTGTAGTCGCAAAAAGCTGGCAGCAACACTGCCCTGCCCGCCCATGCCACTATCACGCCCTGCCTGGCATGGCAAGACTCCCCCCTCAGCAGCCCCAGACTCTAGCCTCTCCAGGTCCAGAAGTGAAGTGAGGACTAAATTCTACTTTCTCTGATGCCTCAGGAGAAAGAATCTCTCTTCTGCAAAGGTAAGAGAGTGATCAAACACAAGTCCCATTAAGCCCACATAATCAATCCTCCACGCCTCCATTTCCCTTTCTCTAAAATAGGGACAGTAACAATACCTTTCTAACCTTTCTAACGTGATGGATGTAAAAGTCACATGAGGAAACTCGAAAACCATTTAGAACAGTCCCTCATATGAAGCACCCAATAAATGTCAGGAATTATGAGGAATGTGCAGGGGAGGCCTACAGGGTACAGTTCAATGCAGAGAGGACTAGGGACCCCGGAGTTTCTCTCAATCCTGCTTTCTCTTTCCTCTGAATTCCTTCCCCACTTGCAAGTCCCGATTCCTGCTCAAGCCCACACCAGCGGGTAATCTTGTGGGGAAAGAAAACTGAGTCGATGAGGAAAGAAATCCTTTGTGAAGGTAGATATACCTACATCGTAATTGCCTCTTTCTTCCTAAATTCCTCCCGTTCTCCCATTATTCCTCTTCAAAGGAAGTAGTGTCCCCTTCTTTTCAAGGCCAACCCCTTAGCCATCATGCTTTCTCTGTGTCTTCAATTGCACCCTCTTTGCTGGCTCTTACACATCGTCAAAAACTCACTCAGGACTCTTCTAGGAAAAACTGGCTCTAGTTCCTGCTCTCTCCTCCATGAGCTGCCCCGATCTCTGTGCCCCTGCCCTACCACGCTACTCAGAGTGAGTACATCCTCCCAACTCACTTCCATCTACGCCTCGATCCACTGCAATGTGACGGCCCTACTCCACTGCAGCTGCTCACACTTGGAAGCAAAAGTGCTCTGGTGACCACTCCCCCTAACTGCCCAACCTCTCTTCCTATTTGTAGCAATCGAGACTACTGATCTTTCCTGGCTTCCTAGACAACACTGCCTCTTACCCGGCACACCACTCCCCATCGGAGACACTTTCTCCCATCCTTCTCTCTCTCTCTCTCTTCAGGTGAGCACACTTGCCCTCTGGCAAATTTTTATTTTTTAAAGAAATGTGTATTGTAATGGATATATGTCCAAAGTACTGCTTGAAGGTAGAGAAGGAAAGATCCCTCTCCTCTCATCTGTCATTACCAGCCTACGAGCATGGCTGGGAGAGCTCCTCCATTCCCACAAGGTCAACTACCACCTACACCCACCGTCCCCAGGCAGACTCTCTGCCGAACCTTGGATCCACATCCCCACCCAAGCGCAGTAGAGTGACCTCTTAAGCTCAACATGCACCTGGTATCTTTCCCCCAGAGACATGTATTTCCTGTATTCCCTCTGCTTTTGGCACTGCCAACACCCAAAATAGAAAACTGAGTCACCCTCAGCGGCTCCGTCTCTCTTGTTCTCAACAACCAATTAGTCATTACGTCAGGTTAATTCTGTCTCTACAATCTCCCTTGGAGTCATCCCACTTTTTTCTCCCCTCTGACTAAATTCTTTTCTTTTTAAAGAATTATTTAATTTTATTTATTCATTCATTTATTTTAACTTGACCAGAGAGAGAGAGACACACACAGAGAGAGACAGAGAGAGAAAGCGAGAAAGCAGGCAACCAGGTCCAAAACTTGAACTGTGGTTGGCCATGTGGGAGTGTTCAGCGCCTTAACCACCACACCACCTACTGGTTCCCTCCCACCCCCCACTGACTGAACTGTAAGCTCAGACATAAACCATGCCTATGTTATTATGAGAATCTCATGATGTCCCTGATCCAGGTCTCTCTGTTCAGGCTATTTCCACAGTTAGCTTCCCAAAATACAATCATGTTACTGCCCTGCCTAAAAGTCTCCAGTGGCTTCCCTGTCTATAACATGGACTCTTCTTAGACCAGCAGGTGGTATGGTGGTTAGGATGCTGGACTCTCACATGGCTGACCACTGTTTAAGTCCCAGACCTGGTGGCTTGAAAATCATACTGGGCACATGTGCATGTGTGTGTGTGTGCCCAAGATCCCAAGAGGAGAATGGAGAAGGGATTTGGGCATAGCCATCCCCCCTGGGGGGGAGGTGATTTTTCACTTTCCCTCTTACTGTCTCTCTTTCTCTTCAGTGAGCACAAGCACTCTACAGAAAAAAAAAAACTTTAAAAAAAAAAAAAGAGAATTTTCTTAGCACAGCACTTTGAGCCATTAAAGAAAAACCTGGCCTCATTAAGAATCCAGTCTTAATGGGCCAGCCCAGGGTGTGGTGGCTAGGGCAACTGGATCTCTATGGCCGACTGCATAGCTTGAGGCCAGGACCTGGTGGCTTGAGAAACATGCCAGGTGTGTGTGCATGCATACCCAAAAGCCCGAGAAGAGAATGGAGAAGGGACTGCAGCAGGACCATTCCGCATGACGGGTGCTTTTTCACTTTCTTTCTATCTCTGTCTCTCTCTGCCAAATCCCATCTAGTAAAACTTAAAAAAAAGAATCCAGTCTCATCAATCAACTCCCCTTTGAGCCCAACGTTCTCTAATATTCCAGCCACTGGGATCGGTTTACCTTTCCCTCTGAGTCTGCAAATGCTGCAAATGTACTCAGGACCAGTCTCCCTCCTCATCATTCAAGTCTCAGTTGCTACTTCTTTCCAGAAAGTCTCCACACAGAGCTAGTATTCCTTCTCTACTGCACACAGGCCTTTGGGCATATCTCCATTACGACACACGTTGTCTCCTTTTTTAAAAAACTTCACCAGGGGAACCAGCAGTTAGCGTAATGGCTACGTAGCTGGACTCCCACGTAGTCGACCGCGGTTCGTGTCCCGGACCCGGTGGCTTAAAACTCACGCCGGGCGCGTGTGCGTGCATGCCCAAGATCCCGAGAGGAGAATGGAGGAGAAGGGATTGTGGCGTGACCATCCCCCCGGGGGGTGATTTCTCGCTTTCTGTCTCTATGTCTCTCTCTGTCTGTCTGGCGAGCGCACGCGCCCTACAGTGAAAATCTCTCCAAAAAAAAAAAAAAAATCTTCACCAGAGGGCAAATGCTCTCCCCTGACAGAGACAGAGAAAGAAGGAAAGAGAGAAAAAGCGCACACACACACACACACACACACACACACCCCGGGGAGGAGATAGTCACAATCACAATCCCGTCTTCTCCATTTCTTCATCCTGTTGGGATTTAGGGCATGCATACACCTGCGACCAGCAACCAGCGTATCTCTCAAGCTGCTACAAATGACACTCAAACCGCAGAGTCAGCCATGTGGAATTCAACTGCCTTAATACCAGGCTACAGAGCCGGCTTCCACATTTCACTTAAAATATTGTCTCCCTCATTCTACCATGAATTCCTCCAGGACAGAGAATTTTATCCATCCCTGTCTAAGCACTGAACTCAGTGAAGGCACACAATATCGGATGGAGATGCCTGTTCAACACCTGCTCTTGGGACACAAGCTCGCTCTGACAGCTTTCTCAGAGAGGAGCTCCACCCTTAAAGACCACCGCCACTGTGGAGAAAACAGCCACATACACACAAACACATGCCGGTAGATGGGGCTCTTTGCACTTCAGACAGGAGACAAAGAAATGAAAAACACAGGGACAGCCCCAAATCCTATAAAATTTGGTAGTGACACTAACTCAATTTTTTAAGTTTTTGCTATAGGGCACATGTGCTTGCCACAGAGACAGAACGTGAGAAAGCACACCCTCCTCAGGGAGTATGGTCACACAACGATTCTTTCTTCATTCTCCTCTCGGGATTTTGGGCATGTATGCTCATACACCCAGCGTGTTTTTCAAGCTACCAGGTCTGTGACTTGAACCTTGAAGTCAGCTATGTGGGATCCAGCAGTCTCACTCACCATGCCACTGGCTGGCCCATGACACTACTCTCAATCTTACATGTTTCCAAGTGAAAAGAAACACAGAGTAGCACCTGGTGAAGTGCAGATCTGGGAATTTTTTTTTTTAAAAAAAAGAATTATTTTATTTAACTGTATTTATCCATTTATTTATTTATTTTAATTTGACCAGAGAGGGAGAGAAAGAGAGAGAAAGCAAGTCACTATGTCTGAGACTCGAACTGCGGTCAGCCATGTGGGAGTCCAGTACCCTTATCCACCACGCCACCTGCTTGCCCTGGGAAACAGACTTAATGAGTCCTTGGGGGCAACAAGGGCTCGTGTGCTCTTTACATCTTAGGCGTAAAGGAACTTGGGGTGGTCAGACTGGATACCTATTCTGTCCATTACCCAAGTTCAACTGGCATCAGCCTGAATTTCAAAAGAAAAATTATGTAAAGCTAAAGTCAGGGTCTCCAGGAAGACAAGGACCCTAAGAGAAACTGAATCAGGCACTCTCCCAGCTCCTACCTCTTCAGGGGACACTGGGAACCCAGTTCCTATTTTCTCTGGTATGGCAAAGATAGTCCAAGTCCCCCAAGTACCACCTACTAGCCGTGTACCCAAGAACCATCTATTATAATCTTTCCCAACCTGTGAGTCCAGGCAGCACCAGCAGTGATAGAGCTGGCAGCAGACCCAGAACAGCAGCTGTGGGTGTATTATGATTCTCCCAACTATTCTGACTCCTCCCTAACAACTTCTTCACCTTTGTACTCTGATACTCAGTCAGGACCAACTTATCAATTCTGCCTGAGTATGACTTCCTCCATCCTTCCTCTCCCCTCTATCACTACAGTAATTACTCTGAGCTGCCATTGAACAGCTTTGAAAATTAAGGCAGGGCTGGTCTATGGCCTGGTGGTTAAGGAAACCAGATCCCACATGGCCAACTGTGCAGTTTGAGTCCCAGAACTGGTGGCTTGAAAAACACACTGGGTGCATGTACATAGGTACCCAAAATCCTGAAATAAAGGGGAAATAAAACAGAAGGCACCTGTGGCATGACTTTGCCAAATTGGGGGGGGGGGTTGCTTTTTCCTTCTGTCTCTGATGAGTGCAAACACTCCTTGGCAAAAATTTTTTAAAAATTAAAAAAAGAAGAAAATTAAGGCAGATTGGGACCAGCAGTTGGCTATGTCACTGGACTCCCATGTAGTCGGCCATGGTTTGAGTCCTGGACCCAGTGACTTAAACTCACGCTGGGCACATGTGCGTGCGTGCCCAAGATTGAAAGAAAAGAATGGAGAAGGGATTGTGGTGTGGCCATTACACCTAGGGGGTGATTTCTCTTTTTTTGTCTGTTGCTCTCTTTCTGGCGAGCGCACAGGCCCTATAGCAAAAACCTCTCCAAAAAAAAGAAAATGAAGACAAATCACTCTTGGATGCCTCACCCATAAAACAAGGTAACAGTACACACAGTGTCATAAGAAAGGTATGATTACTAAACAGTATAAACTGAATAAATACAGTGGAAAACAGGAGTGTAAAGAACAAGGATTATGTCAGCTACAAAGAGAGACAAGAGTTTTCTGTCCCCACCCTCCTGCCTCAGCCTCTCAGCTGAGACTACAGCTGCAAGAAGCAAAGAATCAACCAGCAGAGGCTGTAAAATGTGTTGAGAAGACTCAAGATCGTGTACCAAAGTACGATTTAAAGTAGCACACAAAATACCTTGAGTAATCTTTACGATTACAATTATAATTTAAGCAGCATAGTATGAGAATTATATCAGATACCATAATAAATATAACTGTGTGAAGCCTGGAAAAACACACACACACACACAAGATAACAGTGGCTCTGCCTACCTCACAGGATTATTACATCAAATGAGATTGTGCTGGTGAAAAATTCTGTAATCTGTTATACACAAATATGAGGCATTGTTATTATCACCAGCCTAAGTCCTCTATCAGTGGTATGTGAAGCCCTTCTGGCTCCCTGCATCTCGTCTTCCCCACTTCCGACCACGTTATACAGCACAGTAAGACAAACACATCCTCTGAAACATGGCTTTGTCCCTATACTTGGCTGCTCAACATCTTTCACTGTATCTCGTTTCTTTAATCAATAATTTTGGATCGGAAATGTGCAGTCTCATCTCTGCACCACTGTCAGATGCTCAGGACACTTTCCCTAGTCTCACAAGCCACACCCATCCTTCAGTGTCAGCTAACGCCCCACTACACTTCACCCGGAACAGAGAGAAACTTAGGAAAAGGATGTCATAAACATGGTAGAAGAACTAAGGACAATTCTGTCTGGAGACAATGTAATAGGAAGAGCTGTCACCTAGTATTTTCTGAGTCTACTTTATGAAGATGTATTATACCATTTTCTGCTGGATTCTGAGAGAACCTAGGCCCAGCAGAATGAAAGGTGCAGAGATGTATTCCAACGACATGAAGATCTTCCTTATTGAGTTATCCAAGAATGATATGGGATGTCTTATGCATAATTTCCTACTACTAGAAATGTTCTAACCAAATTGCAAAATTTACCAAACTGGTAGGAGTATTTTAGATGGAATTTAACTGTCACGAGAGTAACTGGACTAGAATCACAACATTTTAGATCTAAACAGAACCTTAGAAATCTTCTAGTCCAGATTCCCATTGTACAAGCCTAGACAGATGAAGTGACTCACCCAGGCAGGAAGCACAGTTTGTTGGAGAGAGCTAGGAGTAGAACCTGGTCTCTAACTCCCACTCCAGTGAGCTACACCCTTGCTACTCAGTATGTGGTCCACGGACACCAGCCTTAGCAACACCTGGGAACTTGTGACAAATGCAGAACCAATCCGATCTGAATTTTAACAAGACCCCACTCCATGTATGCACCATTACAGTTCAAAGTACTGCCCTACCTGCTCCTTAGACCTTGAATTTCCAATTCTGGAACTGCATTTCCCAAACTGTTCCCAGAAGAAAAAGCAGTGTTTCCCAGTAAAAGTTGGGAAACTATACCATAGCCCTGGTTCATGGTAAATATCATTAGTATATTGAAAGCTGTGAAATATTCCGTAGTAGAGAAAATTTTAAGAACCAATATTCTGAACATATTTGAATATGAAATGCCTTTTTAATAGTTATTATTTCTTTTCATATCCAGTAGCTTGGATTTTGCAGTCCATCAAGTGAAAAATGGCAAACTCTCTCACAGCTCTGCAACTCTCACTCCCTTACGTAAACCAGAGGAGCGAGCGGACAGCATGGATCCAGGCTCTCCTGACTGTGATGAACAAAGGTAAGTTCTGAACCTCTGCCCCTGGAAAAACGGCAGCGCTCTTCATCTGTGTGATGTAGCTGTGGTTCTCCCCAAAGATCAGAGGGATGCACAGGATGACTTCTCAAGGGTCATCCCGTGGCTAGGGCGGACCCCAGGGTGGAAGCGCGCACACACACCATATCTAGATCCAGACCCCCACGCAGGGTCCCCTGATTCGCGTGTGTTTGTTTGACACAGATTTCTCAACCATGTGCCCCAGGGAAACCTGTCGTGGGTACGGGTTCCGGGACGCCTAGGACGCTCCCAGGAAAGGAGGGGAACCCTCGCGGTTCTGGAGGAACTCTGAGGCGCGCTCTGACCCCGGGGCACACGGCCAGGCTGAGAGCTCAGGTGGGTCGGAGAAGCCGGCGGTCCAGCACTCGGGCGGAGTCCTGGGACTCGGCGGGCACCCACCTTGGTTAGCGGGGGGGCCGCCTCCGTACCTGTCGGCTCAGGGGCTCCGCGCCCGCCTTCGGCCCCACCGGCGACCAATGCCCAAGACCCTGCGGGCCCGCCCCGCCGGCCTCGCCTGCCCCGCCCTCCTGGGCTGCCCGACGCGACGCCCGACCCTTCCAGGACTGTCCCAGATGCCCTGGTCCCTGAGAGCCAGAGGCGCTCTGGGCCCGAGGAATAGGCTACTGTGTCCCACAGTCCCACCCGGGCTGAGAACTGCGCCCCGAGCGCGGCGAAGACATCGATCAGGCACAGAGCTGGACACCTGGGGCGGGGTTTGCGCAGGCGCACTGTGCCTGGGAAGCCGATTAGGACCGCGAGAGAGGTACGTCTTGGCGAGCGCCCCCTGCCGGCCGTGGCTAGGCAGTGCAGAGGACCGGGAGGACATCCGAGCTTTTTTTTTTGTTTTCCTCAACTGCGGGAAGATGAGTGCTCTGGCCACAAAGAGGAAGGGAGAGAACGTAACCCAAGGAGAAAGTACCTCCTAACGGGACACGATCACATCAGAATCACTTCTCCATTCTTCCATCCTGTCAGGAGTGGGGGCTCCACACCTGCCCAGGTGTTTCCCAAGCCGCGGTTGATTGAAACAGCAGTTGGCTATGTGGGATCGGGCTGCTCTAACCAGAAGGGTACGGCTGGACCACAGTGGCACATTGTGAACGACCACTGCTGATTAGGATAGCAGCTGTAGACCACACCCCTTCTGTTAGCTAGGAGGGAAACCGGTCAGTGTTAGCCTTCGTGTGGGGAGACACCCATTATCATGCCCTTTTAAGATATAAAACAACACAAGTTTATATAGTGGCATCTGGGCATGCTTTTATATATATATATATATATTTGTTGGTCGAATGCACCCACTTCTACTACTGTGGTCTAAAGAAATAATCAAACAGGTGTGCAAAGACATTTCTACAAACATGTTGAGAGAGCCAGAATTTGATAGACACAGGGGTGAATTATTTTTAATTTTTTTTTTTTTTTGGCCATAGGGCACATGAGTTTACGAGAGAGAGAGAGAGAGAGGAAAAGTGAAAAAGCACCCCCCCCTCCCAAGTGAAAGACGGCCACACTGCAACCCCATCTCCATTCTCCTCTCAGGAGCTCAGGCCCACATGCACAGGCACCTAGTGTGTTTTTCAAGTTGCCAGGGTTGGGACTCAAACCGCACAACCAGCCATGTGGGTTCCAGCACCTTCACCACCACACCACCTGCTGGCCTCAAATTCTTTTTTTTTTTTTTTTTTTTTTTTTTAAGTTTTTTTTTTTCTTCCACATC